TCCCTCCAACTCCTTTTGCCAGGAGAGCTGCTCTCCCTTGGGGGTCCGGGGGAAGGAAACTGAACCCGGGAGACCTGGGATCGGGTCCCAAGACCACGAGGCAACACGCCAGATGCGCCATGGGCGTTGGGTGCGAAACAAGGCCATTTGGGGAGATAACGTGGGCAGGGAGGTAAGAGGAAAAAAATTAAGCCTGCTTCCTCGGTATCAATAAAGGGGACTTTACAAGCAGAAAGTGGTCGGCTGGAGCCTGGCAGTGTCATGGTCCCTCCCTCCCCGTAAATCGGCGCCACCGCTTCTGCTTGGGGGACCATCAGGCCGGCTGCCATAATTCTGCTCTTTTACCTCTTTCACCTTGAAGTGACAAGGAGACGGCCATTGGTAGGATGGCTGGTTTCTATGGTGACAGGTCTCCCTCCAGGAAATGTGGCTGGGATGGAGCCAAAATGAACAGGGGGTGGGAGGGGGTGGGAGGGCCTACGCATTGTGAGTGTGCATAGTTGTGTGCGCACAGAGGAGGAGGGAGGGAGAGAGAGATGAAGGTGAGACAGACACTTCTTTTCCCTCCCCGTCAAAAAAACCCAACCAACCAAAACAAACACCAAAATCGAATATAGCGTAGTATAGTGCTATCGCAGTACAGCCCACATCCATGCCCAAAACAAGCCTGCATTCTATTGCCTTGAATTGTTCAAGCGACATAGCGCCTGTTCGAGATGCCAGAAAGGACCCAAAGGTTACGTCAAAAACCAGCCTAACCATTCACACCACATGCTCCCCCTCAACCGCCGTTTCCCATCACGTTACTGCTTCCCGAGCCGAGAATGACCCCGATGCTTCCCCCGGGGAGGTTGCAGATGGAATGAAAAGCAGACGCAGGACAGGAAAGTGCAGTGAAAAAGACCCGAATTTGCTCTTTTTGAGAACCCAGGCGCTGAGTTTGGCCCGTCCCTCCTGCTCACTCTAAATCTGGATGACAGGCAGGGCAGTGTAACAGCCAGAGTCACCGCTATCCGCTTGGGAGACCTAGATCGCGGGATGAATGACGTCTGAGACTTAGGGGCCCCAGACTCCATGGGGCGAGCTTGGACCCCAGTCCCTCTCTGACCTACCTCATAGGGCTGTGGTGGGGAGGAGGTATCGGAGAAAAAAGCCCCAAGTGTGTGGCTTTCACTAAGCAGAAAGCTGTTGGAACTGCCTGTAAAAAGTCGTTGTTGTTTTATTTATATGCCTCATTTCTCCCAATAATGGACCCAAAGCGGTTTACAACATTAAAATTCACACAATTAAAAACACAATAAGTTAAATATTAAAAGACAAATTAAACAAATATGATTTAAAATAAAATTAAAAGATTAAACATTAAAACATGGAAAAGAATAAAATTATCTGCTAAAATGGGGTTCAGGGTTTCAACTGTAATTGTTAAAAGCCTGACGGAAGACATGGGTCTTTAGCATTTTTGGGGGAGGATAACAGGGGCTATCCTGATCTCCCATAGCCTGGGAACTGCCTCAGAGAAGGCCCTCTCCCGTGTCCCCATCAGCTGTGCTTGTGCTGGCAATGGGACCAAGAGGAGGGCCTCCTCTGCTGAACTTAATAGCCAAGAAACCTCATATACAGAGATACAGTGGTACCTCGCTTAACGAGCGCTTCGTTTAACGACGAATTTGCTTAGCGATGGCTTTTTCGGAGTGATCTTGCGCTCCGTTTAACGATGTTCCCTATGGGCGATTTTCACATAGCGATGTTTGGGATCATGCTTCGCATAGCGATGACAGTTTGGGTCCCCCTGTTTCGCTTAACTATGGTTTTGACAGCCTCATGTTGGCTGTTTTTTATATGTTTAAAAATGTTTAGAATGCTTGAAATCATAAGTGCACTTAATAAACCCTTTGTTAAACTAATTTGACTTTGTTCTGACTCTTTTTAAATTTGTTGTAATTTCCCCCCCCCCATTGAGATGCATTGAATAGGTTTCAATGCATTTCAATTGGGGAACCACGTTTCGCTTAGCAATGTTTCCTATGGCAATTTTCGCTTAAGGACGGCAATCCATTCCCATTGGAATGGATTATCCGGTTTTCAATGCATTTCTATGGGAAACTGTATTTCACTTAGCGATGTTTTCCCATAGCGATGATTTTTTTTGAAACAATTAAAATCGTTAAGCGAGGCACCACTGTACAGTCCTTCAGGTAGCCTGAACCCAAGCTGTTGAGGGCTTTATAGGCATTGACCAGCACTTTCAATTGTCCCAGAAACAGACTGGCAGCCTGTGCAGTTCTTGTAACAGGTATCTTATATTCTCCCTCTAGCTGGCTCCAGTCGGTAGTCTGGCTGCAGAGTTTTCCACCAGCTGAATTTTCTGAGCCATCTTCAAAGGCAGTCCCACATAGAGTGCGTTACAGTAATCCAAACAGGATGTAACTAAGGCATGTGTCACTGTAGCCGACATAGCAAGCAATGAGCGCATCTGGTGCACCAGCTTTAGCTGTGGCAAGTGCACTCCTGGCCACTGCCAAGACCTGGGCATCCAGGCTTAGGGATGAATCCAGGAGGACACCCAAACTGCGGACCTGAGTTTTCAGGGGCAGTGTAACCCCATCCAGCACAGATAGTGTCTCTATTCCCTCCCCTGCCTTCCGACTAACCAGGAGCACCTCTGTCTTGTCTGGATTAAGTTTCAATTTGTTTGCCCTCATCCAGCCCATTACTGATGCCAAGCACTGGTGTAGAGTCAAGACAGCTTCCCTGGAATTAGGTGGAGAGGAGAGAGAAGAGTTGACACTGCATACGGGTGACACTGAACCCCAAAACTACAGAAAACCATTCCCAGCATTTTCATGTAGATGTTAAAAAGCATGGGTGACAAAGCAGAACGCCATAGGCCAATGGCCAGGGTGTTGAGCAGGTGTCACCCAGCACCACCTTCTGAGTTCGCCCCTCCGTGAAGGACTGGGGCCACTGTAAAACAGGGTCTCCAAGTCCCATCCCAGAGTGATGGCCCAGAAGGATATCATGGTTGATGGTAGGATCTCCTTATCTACAGAATCAGTACCCACTGATTCACTTATCCACAATCTGAAAATATTAAAAGAATCCAGAAAGAAGTTTTCTCATGCATTACCAGAACTGGCCACTAGAGGGAGAAAGAGACCATGCCATGAATACTCGTTAGTGAAGAATACATAGCATAGTCTCTCACGCCCACCAGTGGCCAGCTCTGGAAATGCATCTGAAAATAATTTTTTTTTCTGGTGGGAGACAAATTTAATAAAGAAGTCAATGTCTTCCTTCATTTTTCGCCGCTTATGTCTGGAGTTTGCAGAAATTTTCTGGGTTAATTTTAGCCTCCGAACTTTTTGTGTCTCTCTGTTCTCTCCAACCACTTCTCTCTTTTTCTGCCACCCCTTTTCTCCCCTCATCATCATCCTCCCCACCCACCCAGCTGGTGGGAGACAGATCACGCCATCCAGGAAGGCCCACAAAAGACCTTCCTCAGCCACCAAAATTTAGAAGAAGAGGACCTTCCTTCTTCCCTCGCTAAAACGGCCCCTGTCTGGGCCAAATGGTTTCCTCTCCTGAGCCAATTCCAGTCTCATCCGCATGGCAGACCAGGGTCTTTGGAACTACCAAGCACTTGATTGGAATCACCCGCAGATTCCAGGGTCTTCGGCACTACCAGACACTTTGAAACATTTATTATTCAGCTCAAGACTTGAAAAATCAGATCCGCCATTAACTTATTCCTTGGGCAATCACGTTTCGGATTCAGGATCTGAACGTTCGTATGCAAAACACTGCGTCTACCGATATATTTGTAAAAAGACGGGCCGTGACTTCATGCTCAGGGTAGCAAGAAGGTTCTGGGGTTCCTTCAGAAAGCTGTAATGCCTTGAAAACACAACCCAAGGCAGAAATGTGGGGCGCTGGGGTGATCATGAGAGAGACCACCTTAGGTCCAATCCTGCCATTCCAGCTTTGAAAACAACAGGTAGGGCAGTGCTTCCCAATCTTCTCCGGGTCTTTGGAGGTTCCTGAACTACAACTCCCAGAAATCCTGGCCAGCATAGCGACCGGTGAAGACTTCTGGGAGTCGTAGTCCCCAAACCTCTGAAGACCCAAGTTTGGGAAGCAGAGTTTGGGGTCCATTGGAAAAAAAATCCGAGCGGCCCCGAGCGGCCACAGCCTGGAGAGGTGAGCAGTAACATCCATGACTACAAAATAACTTTTGGGAGGAAAAAAAAAAGATAAAAAGTCAACCACAACTGAGATTGCACAAGACTGTCAAACCCACACACCGTCTGTGGCATTTAATGGAAAGGCAAGACTGTCATGGTGAGGAGGAGAGACAGAGGAAAGGATAATATTGCACCAGAAACACGGAAGCAACAGCACAGAGTCTTACACAACCAACACCTGAGTCGACAGGAGAAAAACAGGGTGAGAATAACTAGGAACAGGATCCGGCCGGAAACCTCCTTCCCAGGGACGGGGGGAATGGATGAACAGCAGCCAAACACCTCCAATAAAGGGGTCTCTTCCTTCTTCTGATGGACATTTCAGCTGCAAATGTAACTTGACGGGGGTCTTTATTGGATGCCAAGCATGTATCTTCCCCTCCTTGGGCGATGAAATCGCTTCCAAAGTCCACCGCGGCCTGTTCCTCTTCCGCCCCCCAAAACGGCAAAACCGAGATATATTGTGCGATCGGAGAGCACACCTATGGGCGTTTTGGGGGCGCAGCTGCTCTGCGAATTCTAAGTCAGACGAACTTTGCAAGAGCTAAGCTGCACGGCGAACGTCGGCTCCTTCTGCAGGAAGGACGGGAAACCCTCAGGACAGTATCCAAGCCCTTCATTTGTGCCATCGCCCTCCCCTTGCAAAAACTCAGCTCCCTCCGGTGTTGCGTCCCAACAAAATAAGCTATGCAAGAGGAGAGCTGTTAGATCAGAAGAACAGATCCCAGCTGGACACTCGCACGCTATGCAAGAGGAGAGCTGTTAGATCAGAACAGATCCCAGCTGGACACTCGCACCGGCAAGAGCCGAGATGCCGACCAATTTCGGAGTGTTTTGCAAGACCTGAGCTCCCCCTATCCATTCCTGCAGATAAAGTCTGCAAGAGCGCAGTGGCGAGAGCCAAGCAGAAGGGCTCCCCCCAGTTTCCCTGCCAGATGGACCGAAGAAGAGATCACCGCAAAAATTGGAAAGAGGTGCGGATCGGACGTTTCGAAAACAAAACCGGCCCCGTTATTGCTTGAAAACTGGAGAGAGAGGGAGGGGTGCCCCCTTAAAAGATTCCCCCAAAATATGAGGCTTTTTTCACCCAGACAATCATCACGCCAGACTCTTTGGATTTGGAAAATAAAAATAAAAATTTAGCCCCTTTGCCTGTCTCCCCAGCGTTTGGGTCCTGAGTTCAAATCACAGGGTCTGCATGGCCACCGGATAGAGTAAAGAGAGGTGTTCGGCCCCCTTGATGGGCAACTCCTGGGAGGTGTAGTGGTGGATGACCTCTGGGATGCTGTCGAACGGAGCGCTGTTCTGGCCCAGAACGAACTTGTTCTCCTTGGTCCGAGTGAATTTCATGTGCATAAACCCCTGGCTGCTCCTAAGGGAGAAAACAGAGGAGGCATCGGTCAGATCCAGCCGTGGATTTATCCCAAGAAGCACTGGGTTCTGTTTCACAGCAGAGGAAGCCCTGAAAAGATGCTAGTCCCCATGGTTTCACAAGCTTGCAAAAGGCAACAGCAAAACCAAAACACACACACACACACACCGAGGAATCCTAAAAATGAATGATCCTAAAGGCATCTCTCAGGAATGCCAGAAAGACAAACCAGGGGTCCCGGATCAAATCAAGCCTGAACAGTCTCTGGAGGCGAAAATAGCAAAACTGAGGCTGTCCTGGCATCATGAGGATTTTCCGGAGAATGGAATAATACAGGGAAAGGCAGCGAGCAGCAGGGAAAGAGAAAGACCAAATATGAAACGGACCAACTGCATAAAAGAAGCCACGACTTTTGAGCTTGCAAGAGCTGAGCAAGGTGGCAGAGGATGGGGCATTTTGGAGAGTGTTCCTTCGCCGGACGCACTAAAGTTGGAGATGGTTTGACAGCAAGAACCTCAAAGGTGTCCTAAAGATTAGTAAAAAGTCCTACTATGGATTAACCCTGTTGTTACTAAACTCTATCACTCTTTATTACAGAGAAGTCTCTCTTTACTACGGTAGAGATTTGCAACCAAGGTTTTTGGGGGAAGGTGCGCGGTCCGCTCGTGTGCGCCGGCACCTGCTGTCACGCGAGCCGACCCCAAGCGATGAATATTTCATTTGACTCACGCAATGATCAGAGACCCCCATGTGTGTGTGTGTGTTCCTGGCGTGCCTTCACTCTCTCTTGATTTCAGAACTCGATATAAAATATTCATCCCAGCACCAGGAGGTGAGAGAGGAGACAGCCCGGCTTTGCCTCAGCTGGGGCGCTCCAGGCCATCCCATAATGCCACGGACACCCTTGACTCTTTCCTGCCAAGCTTCTGGAACAGCGAGAGTTTGGCAACACTGGAAATAACTCATCTCTTCAATCAAAATCATCATCTTAGAACGGCAGAAGCTGGAAGGGACCCCCTTAAAGGATCATCCAGTCTAGCCCATCAAGTGGGGGATTCGAACTCCCAACCAATGACTCCCCAGGCAGAAACCTAAACCGCTGTGCTATACAGCCATTCCCAGAATGGCAGGGCTGGAAGGGACTCTGAAGATCATCAAGTCGAGCCCCTGTGAGGGTGGCACAGCGGGGATTCGAACGCCCAGGCCGTGGCTCTGAAGTCAGAAACTGAAACCCCTCAGCGATGTGCGGGGTGGACGGATCGGGCAGAATTGAGGGAAAAGAACTTTATTTCTGAATTTCAGGGCAGGGAGAGCAAATATATACAGGGGCTCAGCCTTTGAAGGGCTTATTGGCTTCTTCCAGGGAACAATTTCTAAAAATTCTCCCTCTCAGAGGCGATGATGAGATTTCCCCCCACCACCACCCTGCAGTTTAACGAGATGGAAATCAGAAACAAGCCACGTTCTGGCCACGTTTCTGCAATGCTGGAGTTTCATTCCTCCCACTGAGCTCCCAGTCTGGAAACCTGTAGAGGGAGGGCCAGGTCTATGCGGCCCTGTTGTTGCAGGCGGAGACCCAGAAGCCTTCACCACCACCTCTACTGGCCAGGATTTCTGGGAGTTGAAGTCCAAGAACATCAGGAGGCTCAAGGTTGGGGACCACTGCTGTAGAGGGAGGGCCGGGTCTATGCGGTCCTGTTGTTGCAGGCAGAGATCCACTCTGAACCACTTCGGATCTCATGGCTCCGTCCCGAAGGATCTTGTGATTTAATGGCTGGGAAGGCCACTCAGAAGCCGACGCTGCTCTAGATGGCGCTTGAGCGCTCATAACGGGGATCTCCATGTCCACCACCAACTACAAATCCCATGATTCCGTGACCAGTATCAATCCAGCTTAGTCAGGGGCAGGAGAGTGCAGTTTTTAAGTTCTGATTCCAGTTCCACGGGGGCATTGGGAGTCCACTTCGGGTTTTCGTGAGCCCTTTGCAAAAATTATCCAGGGTTCAGCACCTCGGAGAGGGGTTGAGGAAACTGGGCACACAGCTGGACAAGGTATGCACGGGGGGGGCGGGGAGAGAGAAATCAATGAATAAGGGAAAAGGCCAAGTCCAGAAGGAGGAGTCGGTGGCGTCACCTTACCTGAGCGAGAGGGAGTAGTCGTTTCGGCTGGTTTCGCTGTTCCTCACCAAGTAGCTCCCTTCCTTGCAGAGGGTCAAAAGGGACTCAGTGTCGGCCCGGCTGATCGTGCCGTGAAACCAGCTGTTGGAGGTGAAAAACAAAAGAGTCATTCACGGCCAACCCTCGCCTTTCGAGTTCGTAAACGTGGAAGGGACGTTGATGGCTGAATTCGAAACTATCTCTGAATTCTCAAGTTGGGAGGGTACCCCAGAGGCCATCATCCTTGACAGGATCTGGACTTGTTGATCTATAGAGTTCCTTCCAGCTCTGCATTATTATTATTATTTTTGACAAGCACAAACTAATGTAGATAGATTGAAAAACTAATAAAATGTTTATATAAGAGTTGGACACGACTTAATGACTAAACAACAACATAGAAAACATGTGAAGAAGAAAATTTTTGGAGAGGAAAAAGAAGCAATTATTAAAGTCTACAAATCCCAGGATACACTAGGGATGAAGCTGTTAAAGGGGCATCGATCTTAATAACATAGACAAATCTTCAATTTTTTAAAAAAATAAAAGTATTATTATTATGTTATCCTCCGGCTGTCCCGCATTCTAGCAAAATAAATCTAATATGCCCAAGCCATTTTTCCAATGTTCATAATGGATAGAACACTCTCAGTATTGATTAGAAATAGGAACACTAATATTTCTTTTCTGTCCAAGCCACCCTCATAATCCATCATTGAGGTTTTCCTGTGTTTTGTCAAATATATCTATATCTATATTTATATATTAATATATCGAAGCTTGCTCGTGCACTATTTCCCCAATAATTTCAGCTCAACAGCAACGCACGAGAAAAGCTGCAGGCGGGCAAAATAATTAGAACATCAACCATTCCTTGAGGGAAGTTGTCAGCAGGACAATAATAATGGTAATAATGAGTTTGGATCAGTTCAATACAACACAGTAAAATAAAATATGCTTTAAATTGGGCCTGAATGGGTGGGGGAAAAGCAGGTGGAGGTGAGAAAAAGGCCAATACTGAGTGGTATTGCCCCAGAACGGAAAGAATTTATTTTCATTGACCAACACCCGTATTAACTAGGAATTAAATACGACTTCTGGTACAACATCTTTATTTTAAGAGGCATCCCTCCCCTAAATCATGATGCTCTTAGAATTGCAGAGTTGGAAGGGAACTTATAGATCATCCAGTCCAGCCCCTGACAAGGAGGCCCCGTGGGGGGATTCGAACTCCCAACCTCTGGCTCCACAGCCAGAGAACTAAACCATCCAGCTGTTCAAAGGTAGCTAAGAGAAGAGTTCTGTGTCACGCCAAAGCTCGCATCCCATACTGTCAGCTTTGATCAACCCTTTACGCCACCCTGATCTCCGCATCTGTGTGACTTTGGCTCGCCCAGCTCCATTGCTCCCGAAAAAAACACACAAATTATTCCCCCCCCTGTGGAAAACCAGTGAACCCCGACATTGGGGAACGGATGTGCTTTGGGTCCAAACTTTACTTTGGCCCGAACTTTATGTGGAGCTGTCCGGGGTGCTGAGCCCTAATCCAAACGGCAGGCCAAGTGGGTTCAGGACCCTGGAGAGCTCCTTGTAAAAGGCCTCTCTGAGCCCAAACAAGGAACAGGGCCACACTCACAAGCTCCTTGACCCACAGGCGCTTGGGGGTCAAAGCTGGCCCTGTGATTTCAACACACGGAGGAAAAAAACCCTACAAACCACTCTCAGCAGTGAGAATAAAAACACAGCAGTAACATGTGATTTTTTAAAAAAAAATCCATCCCTTTGGGAAACCTGGTGCACCTTGGAATCGGTTGTCCGACACAGGCAGCCCCTCACAAGATGCACTAAATCTCCTTCTTTGCTTTTTTACACTTGGAACGGACACCCCAAACACTCCAAAGAGCTCCAGATCTTTTATTTCCTCCCTGGGGGGTGGGTGCATGGGGGGGGTTCCAAACTCACAGCCATTGTGTGTCTACTTGTCATGACCCCTCCCTACAAGCCCTGAATCCCATTCTCCCAACAGGTTCGGCACCGGTAAAGTTCAGGCTACAACCCGGAATGGATCCAGAGACACACCCCTGAAGAAATCCAAAGGACCAGCTACCACTGCTTCTTCTACCTTTAACTAACTCATTCCCTATGTTCTTGCTTCCTTTAAGGCTTAGACTTCCCTTGAGTTTCATAGACCTCTGGCTCCTTTAACTGTCTCCACTCAGCTTCTTTCACTCTCCCTTGCTAGCCTTACATATAGGTTGGGAGTTCGAATCCTCCACCGTGCCTCCTTGAGAGGAGCTGGAGTCGATGATCCCTAAAGTCCGTTCCAGCTCTGCTGTTCTAAAACTATGGATTATAATTTACGCAGGTGTTCAGCCTTGCTGGCATTCGTCTTTTCCATTATTCTTGCACCACCCAGCCCTCAAGCTGACCGCCACGATCACTTACGCTTGATTTTCCAACGGGATCGAAGGGTCGATGCACTCGGCGACAAGAAGGCTGGGCTCGGGACTCTGAGACCGGCCCAACTTGGATGTTGCGGCGAGCTGCTTCGGCGGACGCCAGCGCTCTTTAAGCGCAGAAGAGGTGTGCTCCCATTCCTGGGTGTCAAACTGGGCTGTGAGAAACGGAGGACAAGAAAGAGTGAGCATGAGAAAGATGCTGAGTAAGAGGCATCATTATTGTCCCTTTATTAACGAGAAGGCGTACCTACGCACATGGAAAAGCTAAAAGCACACCAAAGGTGTGCCAGCGACAAATCTGTGTCCAACCAAGAAACCGTAGGAATTTTATTTGCAACCTCGCATGCTGCCTGCGGTTTGTGTGGCTCTGGTATCTGTCAATCTCTCCAGCACTAACCAATCATTCTTTCCCACCTCAGAATTCCAAGAAAGCCCCGCCTCTTTGCTCAGTGTTTTTCCCCCCCTTCTCTTTAATGTGTTGGAAACAATCACTCTGCTTGTTCGGTCGTTGCTAATCCGTTCACAACGGTTAAGCCTTGAAACATTTTTTTTTCTTTCTCCTATCAATGTCTCAGAGTTCCTGAGACCTTTACGGCCATCGAGTGAGAAAGGGATGGACTATCTGGGGAAACTGTAGGCTATTCTTCTCTCTTGAGACTTTGTACTTCTGCTGTGTAGCCAAACACACACACAAACACACAAACAAAGGATTTTATCAGAAATTCCAAACTCTACAACAGAAATGAGGGATGTGACAAACAAATGGTGTAAAAGAAAGAGGAGTGGAGGAAAGAGTAAAGAGAACAACAGGGAAAGGGTGTCACAGACAGACTTTGGAAGTTATGTCAAGTTACAAAAAGTAATTTTGTTACTGTAAAATATGAGAAGTTTTACTTTCTTGAATCCCCCAGTCTATGTATGTAGTAGCCACAGAGTCTGGCTGATTCTGGAAGCTACCAACCCAATATATATATATTTCTCCACCACCAAGTTACACAGAAGTTACACTTTACACACACCCTTACTGTAACTAACTACTAGTTACTTTTTGTTGCTTTTAGCCCTTTTTATAAATCCCTGAAGGCGGATAAAAGAATGCCATAGAAGCTTGGAAAACCTTGCACATTTTCCCTACATGGCCTTAAAAAGTAACTAGAAAATATTACTTTTTGCATGAAGGAAGGAAACCCATATCATTCTTAACTTTGTTAAGCCGTCTTTTTTTTTAAAGCCAAGTTACTTGTAACTTATTCTTTCCAACCTGACCACAGGGTAATGAGAAACAGAAAAAAAGAAAATCACAGATGTGCAAAAGGGCCTTTGAGGAAATCCTGACTTCGTTGTGTGTGGTTTGAGGAGGAGGAGGGTCTGGCTCCCCAGAACTGGCTGGACTACAACTCCCATCAGCCTTTACTCACTGGGCAAGTGGTGAAGGAGAATGAGGACTGGCATGCAGAAGATCTGGAGGGCTGCAAGCTGCCCGACTCAGATGTAAGGAAGGCAACCAGCTTAAGCTACCCCTGTTCAATTCCTGTCTGTCACAATAGGCTGCCAGCTTAACCACCCCTGATGAACTCCTGCCTGTTGTGTCTCATTTTCTATCTATATACTGGCTACAACCCTGACATTGCCTATATATGGAAGGCAAGAAAGCACAGCTCCAAGCAAGGTGAACGGAATATGTCATTCATCCCGTGGGCCTGATCCGGCCCGCTGGGAGGCCTGATCTGGCTTGCGCTAACTTCCAGAAAGAAGAGGGAGAGAGGAGGAAAATTGGGGCGTTACAGGTTTAAAAAAAGATGTCACCTGCTGGATTTAGGCCTTCTTCCTCACTCCCTGTGAGTTCTCCTACTGGCGGTGGCCAAGGCAAAACGTTTGACTCCTTAACGTCTACTGCAGTGGGAAGGGGGTATTATGGGGCAGGAAAAGTTATGGGGAGGGGAAAGGAGGTGGAGGGAAAGATCACGAGGAACCGGAAGGGCGGGGAGGAGATGGAAGAGCAAGAAAGGGGAGACAAAAACCAACATGGTAAAAAAAGAGGAAAGATTTAACGGCAGACGGACAGAGAAAGAGACAAAGGGAAGACAGACGACGTTCCTCCCAGACAACCCCTTCCAATGTTCCCTTAAAGCAAGAGAGAAAACAAGCAGGATCTGGACCACCAATTATCCCAGATCATCCCATTCTATTATCCCCTCTCCCCATATATCCTCTCCCCCACCCGCACAGGATAAATAGGTAAAGGGAAAAGAATAGGGGCGGGACTTGAATGTTCGTTGAACATTATTAACGTGTGCACCCTTTGAGCTTAAGTGAGCGCTGTGTCACTATGCTGCGCAAGGGAAGTGTCATAGCGCTGCAGCACTGTAGCGCTACGCTATTTCTTTATCCGAAAGGACGTCCAAGTTTTCAGAGCAAAGCCGTATTTTTTTCTTTAAAAACCAAAGGTGTTTTTGGTATTTAAATGATTGCGGGGAAGGAGTCAGGCACTATAAAAACAAATAATTTTAAGATAACCAATGGGAATGCCAAGAGAAAAAAGCAGGCTGTGTAAGGTGATGCTGGTCTTAACCTGGTGACAGACATTGGTAAAGAATACACGGGTACAAAATGGACATTTTGCCCCTCAAATATTTGGGTCCCAAACTATTCAGACCCCCTTCGTTTTTCTAATCTTTCTTCATTTTCTCCCATCCCGCTTGGGAACCCATCACCCACAGCTGGGCACAGTCAACTGTGAGGGATGATGGGATATAAAAATATATACCAGTGGGGGGAAGGCCGGGAGCAGAAGTTTCCCAGATATTCAGCACTCAGGTAACTCAGGACCTCAGAGAAGGGAATAACTTCCTCCACAGAAATCAGAGTCTTGAGCCTCCATGTGGTCCCTGCAACACGCATGCCATTACTTGAAAAGCTGGCTTCTTTATTTATTTGTCTGTTTTAACCAAGTTTCTAGTCCTGATTCTAAATCATGTTTGGGGAAAGATCAAGATTTTCCTGTTTGCATCCGCCTCTCATCTCATTATCTCGTCAAGGCACGTTCCACCCCGAGAGCAGAATCCGGACGGGGTTTCTTGCAAAGCCCAGCCACTTCTGCCCTCTTGAGCACGCTGCCTGAGCATGTCTGTGCATGCACAGTTGAGGTCTTAGAAAGCAATTTCTTCTCCACCAAGCTTAGCCTTAAGATATCGGGATTTTGCATTGATCTTGGCATCATCCTGCCACGGTGCAAAATGCAAAGGAATCACCCGGAACGAGGCTGTCCTTGTCGACAGGCAGATGATGATAAGGGGGAGTTGTGGAGCCCCCCCCCGTCTCCAATTCTTTTATAAGATCAACCTTTCAGCTGCTGGCTCAATGCTGCAACCCCTTTTTGGCTTCCCCCCTCACCTTTATTAACTGGTGTTTATGCTTCTTTGAACAGCCGCTTTGAACAAAATCGATCATCGCCAGGCGTGATAAAGGCCGCACGGTGAGAAAAAGGGGGTGTGCAGACTGGGCCGAGGGGAAAAGATAACAGGGAGAGCGCAAGATAAAAATAACGGGAGGAGCCTTCCATGGAAAGCTTTTGAAGCACAGTAGGGGAGGTGGGCTTGTGGAGTTTCTCAGCTCAAAGACACTGGAGAGGATTTATTTGTTCATGTATATGGGATGTCTTCATCCTATTTTTTTCTGAAATCAATGCAGCCTCCATGGCTCTTCAACCAACAATATCCTGCAAAGTAGATCCACTCTGAAGGAAATCATCCCTGAGCACTCACTGGAAGGACAGATCCTGAAGCTGAGGCTCCAGTACTTTGGCCATCTCATGAGAAGAGAAGACTCCCTGGAAAAGACCTTGATGTTGGGAAAATGTGAAGGCAGGAGGAAAAGGGGACGACAAAGGATGAGGTGGCTCGACAGGGTCATCGAAGCGACCCACGTGACTTTGACCCAACTCCAGGAGGCAGTGGAAGACAGGAGGGCCTGACGGGCTCTGATCCAGGGGGTCACAAACAATCGGACACGGCTTAACAACTAAACAACAACAACAAAAGACCAAGCGAGGGCAGGGAGTGACCAGTCCAAGGTCCGAGCCCCAAGCTTTAACTACCACACTGGCAACGTTGGGCAGTTGCTGGAGAGGTAGACCAACCAGCCACCATTCAGAGCAGTTGAGCAAATATCTATGAGGAAGGGCTTAAAGGCCTCGGGATCTGTTTATCCTGGACGGGAGAGGATTAACTGGGGGGGATCATATCAACCTAAAGGGAGATCGCAGCCAAGATATCATAAGAAGACTGAGACTCGGAAAGGCAGCAATGAAGGAAGTGGGGAAGATTCTCAACTGTAATCACTGGATACCAAGGCGAACATCGTCCAGATAATGACGATAATCCCCAATTATTACGTACAGGTGTTTATCCTGGACGGGAGAGGATTAACTGGGGGGGATCATATCAACCTAAAGGGAGATCGCAGCCAAGATATCATAAGAAGACTGAGACTCGGAAAGGCAGCAATGAAGGAAGTGGGGAAGATTCTCAACTGTAATCACTGGATACCAAGGCGAACATCGTCCAGATAATGACGATAATCCCCAATTATTACGTACAGGTGTGGAAAAGTCATGAAAGCTAACCGGGGGGGGGATCAGATTTGTTCATAATATGGTGCTGGAGGATATATGCTGAAAGACAGACAAGTGGGTCCCAAACTAAATCAAGCCTGAACTCAGCTCTAAAAGCAAAAATGATCAAACTGCAGCTGTCGGGCGCATATAAGATCTTTAACTCAGTCATATTTTCTCTTCCCAAATTGTCTTACAAGATGGTTGTGAGATTCATCTCAGTTGCTTTTCCCCTGGAAGTCAGGGAGTCCTGTCTGATGTTGGGCTCTTGTGTCTTGAGGACATCATGAGAAGGCAAGATTGTCATGCTAAGAAGAGTGGAAGGCAGCGGGAATAGAGAAAGATCATACATAAGACTGACTCCATAAAGGACACCACGGCCTAGACTAGAGTTTGCAAGATTCACTAAAAATATAAGATACAGAGATGAGGGAGAAACCGCATGCTGTGACAAGCAGACACTTTTTGCTGCTTCAAAGAGCACCACTTCAACATACACGATAAGCCCCTTGCTTGGCCTTTGTCCAGCTTTACAGAAAACATAGCAAATAGAGTTTATCTCTGCTGCATAGTGGGACTGTTTCAGCAAATTTATCTCCGCTACATAGCAGGACTGTTTCAGCGACATGCGTCCGTCTTAAGGAATAATGGGATTTGTAGTTTTGAGGGACTATGAATGCTCTGCATTTCAGGCCAGTAGATCTACTTCAAAGCATGTAATATACTTACCAGCAAAAGCCCGAGAAATGTGATTTTTCTTCCATTCCCAAGGCTGATCATATTCGTCTGCCGGCCGCTCATCGTCCTGGGGGAGGCGGCTTTCCCGGGGTTTCTCGGCCGATGGGCCCTCCGGGTCAGCCTCGGGTTCTTTCTCCTCGTACGGGGTGTCGTAGAGCTGGAGGCCAATCCTGGATTTCTTCACCCGTCGATCATCCCAGTTGCTTTTGCTTTGGAAATCTGGAAGTCACAGTGGATTGTGGAGGGGAGGCTCCATCAAAAGTGAAACCAAAACAGAACAACAAAGCCTATGTGGTGTAGCTTGTTGAGCAGGAGTTTAGTAACGCCAAGATCCTAGTCCTGATTGAGTCCCTGAAGTCTCCCTCTGTTTCACTCTCACTTACAGTATCTCTCAATTAACAATGCAGTGGGAAAGAAGAGTTTGAGGTCCTTTTTTCTTTGAAGATGATGGGTCCTGTTGTCTCTCACACAAAGAGTTTGAGGCCCTTTTTTCTTTGAAGATGATGGGTCCTGTTGTCTCTCACACACATGGTACAGCCTGAATGAGGCCTTCCCAGTCTTTTGCGCTATTTTATACACTTTGAATAGAACTAAATATATTACTCAGCTTCTGGCGTTTCGGTTGCCCTGCCTTTTCTGATTTCAAACAGAACTCGACATCCATAGGGACTGGGAACTTACATGTTTGATGCCGCGTCAGCCTTTAAAACCCGCAGGCCAGAGGAAGACATGGCTGGTACCACAGACAGCTCCAATTTCCAACAACTATCAAGCTCTGAACACCAAATTAGACATTAAGGGAAATATATATTCCCTGGGATTAGTTCATTTTTTTCCTTCCAAAATACAATTTTCCTCAGAGATATGAAGTGTGGGCAATCAGATACACAAATGATGCCCCGTGCTTCATTTCCTACGACCAACTGCAATGGGAAGCATGCTAAGTATAAGATAACAGAGGTGAGGGAAAAAGAACTTGGTGTGACAGACAGACCCTTTTTGGCCCTTGAGGGAGCACCACTTCAACATACATTCTAAGTGCCTTCTCTAATTTAACTGTACCTTCAGCCGAGAACTGAGCTTTCTTTAGGGTGAGTGACCATTGCACACTGCCTGCACCCTTTTAGGTCCGAGGGGAAGAAATTGGGGGGGGGAACCCTCCCGTTGACCACATGCGGCTCAATTCATTGCAAACTGAACCCCTCTCACTCACTCACCGGCCACCACCTTCTGAGCATCATAGGGTTCCATGTATCCATTGTTCTCCACATCAACGGCCTCCTCGGTCTCTTCGTTGGGCTGCCGGTGGGCATCAAAGGGATCCGAGTACTCGCTCTCCCCCGGGGCCTGTGGCAAAGGAAATATTTGAATCTATTAAAAACACTCGGATCAAATTTAGCCTGACCTCTCTCTGGAGGCAAGAAATGATGAAATTCAAGCTGTCCTCCTTTGGGCACCTCATGAGAAGGATCCCCGGAAGAGACCATCATCCTGGGAAAAGCAGAGGGGCAGCAGGGAAAGAGGAAGCCCTAATGTGAGATGGACCGGCTCGCTAAAGGAAACCACGACTTCTGAGTGTGCAAGAATCGAGCAAGGCTGCTCCAGATGGGATTTTTCTGGAGGCCTGTCATTCATAAGGTTGGCAGACATCAGAGTCAACATGCAGGCAGCCAACGGTAACTGTTTGTTCATGCGAACAACCCCTGTGAATTCAGATAGAATCTGCCACCGCAGGCGGCTTTTTGCCCGACGTGAGAAAGGTTAAAAGGCTTTCTCTCCCCCCACCCCTTTCTCGCTCATCAGACTAGCTTTGTCTCCCAGGAGAGCTGTCCTCCTCCTTTTCTGCCTCTCCAAACGCCACTCCATCCTTATTTCCGCTTAATTGCTGTTGTTTCCCCAAACGGGGTCCCTCTCCGACGGCGCATTAGATGCTCTCCAGCAGTCTGCAGAGGGAAGGGGGCGGGCTGGAAATGCTTCGAGAACCCGCAGGAAAGAAAAAAGAAAAAAAAGAGGAGCCCGGCTTATGGAAATTGGCGATCGGCTTCTCCACGAAGCAATTACCCCCATCCTCTCCTCTGTGCGTGACAAGTGGGTGCAGCGGAAAAGGGGCTTCGTTGAAGGACGTGAGAGGCCTTTCTCCATCACATCCCCAGACATGACCATCTTGAAGTGGGTTCGGGAGCACGGAGGTACGCTCGTCTCTTGAATCCGGACCGGGGCCTCTCACAAGGCAGAGAGAGAGGCAAGGGCCTCAGTCATCGCATGTTGTGGAGGCGGCAATTCAACCCAAGTTACCCCAACCAGTGCAGGCAGCTGAGTCGGATGATCCAGGGACCTCAAAACCAGTCAGTTTCTACTCGGAAGCACTAAGTTCATTTCAGTACCTCGGGTAAGTTCTTACAATTTGGCCTAGAGCTACCAGGAATTTGCCTGTATTTGAATTTCCATGGACCTCCGTGGCTCTCTCTCCTCCCTAACCAACTCATTTCGAGACACGTGGTTGTTCCTGCTAACACGACTCGGGCAAGAGATGGTGAAGGGTTCGCCACATGACCCGAACCCAAGACGTTGGGTCGCTATTCCCGTCCCTATCTCTGTGTTTTTCAAAACGAACATGATGTTCTGTTTAGCCAGTCTCGATAGGGCGTGGGAGGGTATGGGGTGGCCCTCCAGATGTTGTCAGACTCCAACTCCCATCATCCCTCACTGCCAGCCACGCTGAGGGCAGCCAGGGTCCCAAAACATCCCGATCTTGATTTCCATGCTGGTCAAACAAGCCAAGATAGAATCAACAAGCACGTATCATTTGCTCACAGTAAGCCAGGATTCCTGCCAAATCCAGGTTTACTGTTATATATAAATGAAACCCTAAACCACGATTAGGCAGCAATCCTAGCTTAGTATCCCACGTCAATGAGCCTCATAGTTAACAAGTGCATAACACACTGCCCTTTGGAAAGCTGAAGGCGAGACCTGAAATTTGGAAGACTTCTTCAACATTATTCAACGTTCTGTGTCTAAAACAGCATTTGTTTCCCCAAATGTTCAACCTCTGGGGTTTGTGAAAACATTTGGGAATGTTACAAGATGGCTGCCAGAGGAAGGAGGGCCAGCATGCTCATTGACATGGGCCAAAAAAAAAAAAATCTCTACCAAAACTCATATTATAAACCTCGAGGCTTTTCTCTGAATGTTTTGGCCCACTGTGCTGGTTCTTGGCTTCACGGCCCAGAGACCCCTCACGACCCAGCTGGAATTGGCATTTCCGCCTCTCAGGCCTGGCACTCTGCCAGCCCCGTGCCACACGTCCAGGGTTGCCCAGATGAGTCGAAAGGAAACGAGGAAGAACTAAGGGTTTCTGTGTCTCCCAAACAAACTCATGTTTGTTTGCAGAAATTGCTTGGGGATTTTTAAAAGGAACACATGTACACACCCACCCTTCCTCGGTTCTTTCCAGCATTCACACTTTTATAGACTCAGTCTGGGGCTGAGAGGAGGGAGGGAGGAACCGATGAGGAATAGAAGGAAGGAAGGAGCTGATGATGAATCGAAGGAAGGAAGGAGCTTATGATGAAGAGAAGGAAGGAGCTGGTGATGAATAGAAGGAGCTGATGATGAATCGAAGGAAGGAAGGAGCTTATGATGAAGAGAAGGAAGGAGCTGGTGATGAATAGAAGGAGCTGATGATGAATCGAAGGAAGGAAGGAGCTTATGATGAAGAGAAGGAAGGAGCTGGTGATGAATAGAAGGAGCTGATGATGAATCGAAGGAAGGAAGGAGCTTATGATGAAGAGAAGGAAGGAGCTGGTGATGAATAGAAGGAGCTGATGATGAATCGAAGGAAGGAAGGAGCTTATGATGAAGAGAAGGAAGGAGCTGGTGATGAATAGAAGGAGCTGATGATGAATCGAAGGAAGGAAGGAGCTTATGATGAAGAGAAGGAAGGAGCTGGTGATGAATAGAAGGAGCTGATGATGAATCGAAGGAAGGAAGGAGCTTATGATGAAGAGAAGGAAGGAGCTGGTGATGAATAGAAGGAGCTGATGATGAATCGAAGGAAGGAAGGAGCTTATGATGAAGAGAAGGAAGGAGCTGGTGATGAATAGAAGGAGCTGATGATGAATCGAAGGAAGGAAGGAGCTTATGATGAAGAGAAGGAAGGAGCTGGTGATGAATAGAAGGAGCTGATGATGAATCGAAGGAAGGAAGGAGCTTATGATGAAGAGAAGGAAGGAGCTGGTGATGAATAGAAGGAGCTGATGATGAATCGAAGGAAGGAAGGAGCTTATGATGAAGAGAAGGAAGGAGCTGGTGATGAATAGAAGGAGCTGATGATGAATCGAAGGAAGGAAGGAGCTTATGATGAAGAGAAGGAAGGAGCTGGTGATGAATAGAAGGAGCTGATGATGAATCGAAGGAAGGAAGGAGCTTATGATGAAGAGAAGGAAGGAGCTGGTGATGAATAGAAGGAGCTGATGATGAATCGAAGGAAGGAAGGAGCTTATGATGAAGAGAAGGAAGGAGCTGGTGATGAATAGAAGGAGCTGATGATGAATCGAAGGAAGGAAGGAGCTTATGATGAAGAGAAGGAAGGAGCTGGTGATGAATAGAAGGAGCTGATGATGAATCGAAGGAAGGAAGGAGCTTATGATGAAGAGAAGGAAGGAGCTGGTGATGAATAGAAGGAAGGAAGGAAGGAAGGAAGGAGCTGATGAACAGAAGGAAGGAAGGAAGGAAGGAAGGAAGAAAGGAAGGAGCTGATGATGAATAGAAGGAAGGAAGGAGCTGGTGATGAATAGAAGGAAGGAAGGAAGGAGCTGGTGATGAATAGAAGGAAGGAAAGATGAGAAGGAATGTGGGAGAGTTAAAAAAAAAGGAAAGGGAAAGTGGAAGAAAGAGAGAGAGGGAGAGAGGGAGAGGTGTTCCAGGGACATGTGAGGAGAAGGTACAACTAGAACCTGTGATCTCGTTATCTGGGGTGTAAAATTCTCTGCCAGGCCTTCGCTTCTGCCGACAGGGGAGGAAAGTGGACAGAGTTCTAAGGAAGAGAGAGCAGAGGAATCGGTGTGTGAAAATCCCTCTAGGGCAATTAACACCTCCGTGTGGATCCGTGCAATGGAAAAAAGGAAAGAGTGAGAGAGAGAGAAAAAGGAGGGGGGGAAGCAGCCAATCTGAAAGAGTTTGGGGGAAATGGTATCAACACCTTGGTTTAATTGGCAATTTCTCTGCTTCCCGCAGTCCTGGATATGACACCTCCGTCTCTTTCTGTATAAGGTCAGGGCAAGAACACTGCCCTTTCCAAACTACACCTGAGCCACAGGAAGGATCAGAAAATCTCTGGATGGGTGTGTGTGTGCATGCGCGTATGCACAGCAAAGCCAGGTCAATCCTGGTTAAACCCTTGATCTCAACCTGGGCCTGACCTCCATGGGAGGAACGGGGGACACCGTTTCTTTTATTTTCATTTTTTTCTCCCAAACCCATGCAAAACGTAACTTACAGGACACACACTAGACTCTTTGTAATGGTGTGAAAATGCTGTAGCGCTCCAGTGCAATGTGAGGTTTTCTGCAGATGGAAATCATGCCACAGGAGCTGATGATGGAAGGAAGGAAGGAATAGCTGGATGGAAGGAAGGAAGGAAGGAAGGAAGGAAGGAAGGAGTTGATGAAAAAATAAAAGACCATTCTGTCTGCTCGGGAATAGCTCAAGCCTGGCCCGAAAAGGCAGAAGACCTACAACCGGAGCAAAACGGTCCATCTTGAGTATGGAACGGGTTCAAACTACTACGCCTCCCCCCGTGCATCATGTGATGACCAGGAAATAGATCTCACCAGGCCAATCCATCAGCAGTCCAAATGGCCATCTATTTCCCAGGACGATCCCGCCCTTAGTTTGCATTTCCAGATTTTTCTGGTTTTTTTCAAGTCTTCAGATTTCACTGCACTGTTTCTCCAGATGAACAAACCAAGAGATAAGCCATTAAGCTAAAAAAAAAAGTATGGAAGGGGGCACCCGGAAAAAGAGAGAGCAACGCCCCACTTCAGAAGGTGCTTATAGCGTGAAACATCAGTGCCAGAGCTCTGAAATTTCCCCTTGCAGCTCCCGGATGTTTTCATGAGGACTAGAACCCCAGCCTGGTGAGGCAACGGAGCACCCGGCAGCTGAGACCGGTGGGTCAGGCGCTTGATTCCCCACAATGCTTCCCAACCTGTGTGGTGTTGGGCAAGTTGCAAAAAAGAGGGGGTTCCTGCCAGAGTAAAATGCACCTGTATTTTTACAACACCTGAAGAAGGGAACGGTGAACCACTTCCAAACGATGCTTAGAAACCCCTGGAAAGGATCACCAGAGGTCCGAATCCATCTGACGGCACATAATTATTAGTAATTAGACCCACGGAAAAGACATCATCCTACACACTGTCCCAAAGCTTGATCTCTCCTATAATAAGAAGTGTTCCAAGGACTTCTGTGCCTCCATAAACCTCATGGGTACCACCCAGTTGCTCGTTTTTCTAATCGTATCCATGCACTTGAGCATCGCCGGATATTGCTCACACGAATCACACAGCCGCTGACCTGCCTTTGGACAGACCTAGAAAACATTCAGTTCCATTATCCAAGCTCGTTGCTTTCAACCCCTTTTCCTGTGCCATCTCTTTCTCAAAAGCCGTCCTGACTTCATGAGGGCCAGGAACTTAGCCTCTGGTTTAACAGTTCCATGCATGGATCAGTGGATTGCACTGTGTGCGCTCAAATACTGACTAGGAAGTTGGCTTTAATGTTTTGGGGGGGGAGAAACCCTCTCAGTGTGACCGGGCTTCAAAACGCTGGCTCTATGGCTTGAAAAGCGGGATGAGCGCTGCCCCCTAGAGTCGGACACGACTGGACAAAAATTGTCAAGGGGAACCTTTACCTTTACCTTTTAGGAGCCTTACCTGATCCGGTTGGGTCAACCCTTCTTCGGCAGCCAAGAGGGCTTTACTCCTGTTCAAGTCGGACGCGTCCACTTTGATCAGCCGGTGTTTGGGCGAGCTGTACTTCCCGTCCAGACTGACGCTGGGGGTCACCCCTTTGCTCGGGGACCCTGCCGGGTCGGCCTCAGGCTTGGTGGCCTCACCATCCTCGTAGGGGTCTTCGAAGTCCAGCGATTTCTGTGCCCGATAAGCCTTGAGGATCTCGCTCTCGGTGTAATCGGGCTTGGGGGGCTGTGGCGGAGATCTCTTGGCCCCAAAACTCAGGTAATCTTTCAACCACTTGGCCATCGGTTCCGTTCGCCCGACGGCCGGGGCTGGCCAATCCCTCCCCTCAAACCGAGTTCGAGAGAGGGCGAAAAAAAAGGACCAGACCCTCAAACGGAAACGAGGGAATCCTTCATGGTGCAACGGGATTTATAATCCAAATTACGAACAGTCTGTCTTTTCCTTTCCCTGTGCCTGCCGTGAAGAGAAGAGGGGACAGAAAATGAGAAATAATCGGGCTTGCTTCTTCCGAGGATACGCTCCCGGGCTGGAAAGCTCGTTTGATTTCCTTTAACCTGGCGTCCTCTGCCCCGGGAGGACGTCCGACGGGGTTTGCACCATCGGAGAGGCAGAGGAAAAAGAGATTAAACATTACCTCAGCTGGTATGACACACGGGCTCGCGAAATGAATTACTCAGATCCCGAGTAATAGGTGCACCAGGTGGGCGGGAAGCTCTGGCGCTGAACCGCAAGCAGCCGCTTCAAAGGCTGACCTACAAAGCAGAATGCCTTGCGTTCGAATCCCGGGACAGCAGATCACAGGAAACCTTCCTCTCTTCCCCCCCCCAGGAGGGTCATGAACCCCGGCCAACCTCGCTAGGCTGTGGTCGAGAATACAAGGGTCACAAACGTGGATGTAGGGGGAGAAGTCGTGCCCTGGGCCCGCCCTAAAGGGTTGTCGTACAGAGAAATCCTCACAAGCATCTTGGGTCAATCTTCCAAGATCTACCAGGCGTTAAATCTTCTGGTAGCCTCCCACACTAGTAGCTTGGGTGGGATACAAATAAACAAATAAATATTCTTTTTTGCCAGCTTTCGGGGGTCCCTACCCCACTCGCCCTATGCAACAGCTTATCTGAAGCACTTTGAACAGCGTACCAACACCTACTACCATCACCGTCATCATCATCCTACCAGAAGTTCAAGGCACCACCAAAACCCTCTCCTTGTGCAGAATAGGCACTTTGGACATTATTATTTATTTGTAGTTCATTAGTATATGTTTGATTTACTGTTGCAAACTGAGGCTATCTATCTATCTATCTATCTATCTATCTATCTATCTATCTATCTATCTATCTATCTATCTATCTATCTATCTATCTATCTATCTATCTATCTAATCTACCTACCCCCTTCTCTCTTTCTATCTACAGTATCTACCTATCTACCTACTTCCTGGTAAAAATCACCACTCAAATTTTGGGTTCAGGGAACACTGAGGAAGGATTTTTTTAAAGGAAGATTTCATCCATCAACCCTCCAAAATCCACACTGCAAAAAATCTACAGTTACTTCTGCCTTAAGCCCAGTCCTTTCTGTCTTCCACCAGAGTCCCAAGAAAAAAGCCGGCGCGTTTTGCAGGAGACTGGAAACCATTCAAAGGGAGAGGGAGAATGATGATTGCCTCACTAAAAAATGTGAAATACTTCTGCACTCTTTTACTGGGGAGTAAGCCGCACTGAACCAGCTGAGGCTTCCTTGAGAGTAAACACAGAGAGAGCATCAGGCGATACACACAGAGCCCTCAAAAGAGCCGACCCATCATTATATATACATATTTAAAAAGCTAATTATGTCTCATTTTGGGGTGGATTGAGGAGCGAGCGTTCTCTTATTTTTTTAAGTGTTTTGCACGCTCGAAACAGAAGGAAGGAAAAAGAAGAGAGGAAGCAAAAACAGGAGGGAGGGAACGAAACGCACCATTTCCGAGGGAAATGATGGAGAAAAAAGCAATTTTCAGAGACGAAAACATTTTTGTTTTGTTTTTTTGCAAAACCTAAAAACACAAGACAACCCCTTAACCCCTTCCGTCCTCCTCTTTCCCTAACCATCCCAGAACCGGTACCTTGCAAGTCCATGGACCAGCCGTGGTGGTTTTGTTCTTAAAACTCCTTTTTTTTTCCTTCTCTCTTTTTAAAGAAACTTCAGTGTTTTGTCGCCATCCGAGCCCGATGCATCTGGAGAGGAAATTTAAACACACACAAAACACCCAACGAGTTGCTGTTTTTCTGCCTTTGTTTGCAAATTCACATGGGGCTGCATCGCCTGCCCTCCTAAAAAGGGGGAAATTTGAGATTATTCCCAAGATTCTTCATGTATTCTTATTTATTTATTTTTTCTCCTCGCCCTCTCTCTTCTTTCCAACAGGCGAGAAGGGTTCTCCCAGCTTAAAGCTCTCTTGAAATAAGAGATGGAGAAGGAGGAGGAGGAGGAGGAAGGGGGGGCGAGAGAGAGAGAGGAGAGGCACGTGCCATCCCATAATTTGCTACTTTCAAGCCGGCTGCTCCATTGATCTGTTGCAAAGGGAGGCCCAGCAGGAAAAAGGAGAGAGATGGGGAGAAAGGAAAGGATGAGCAGTTTTTTAAAAACTGGAAATTAAAAAAAAAGAAAGGGGGAAAAATAATCTCCAACCCACCGAATTGCTTGCCATGCCCTTTTCAAAGGCAATCAGCAAAAAGAAAAGGAAAAAAGGAAAAACTTTACATGTGCGACTTTGCCAGCTTTTTTTTCTCTCTCTCTTTCAATTCCCTTCTTTTTGATTTGATTCCTTTTGCCTTTTTTCTTCCCTCTCCGTGCAAAAATATTTGAATTATTGCTTTCCTCCTCTGGGGGAATCTTTCAAAGAGAGGTCGCTTCTGCCGAATCTACCAGCCAAAATGTAAAATAAATAAATAAGTAAATAATGCATACATGCATGTGTGTGTCTATCTGAAGTGTGTACATCTGTGCATTCATCACTGCACACCCATCCATCCATTGAGTCAACGTTGGATACAAACAGGCGCAAGTGGGGGCTCGCCTGGCCGAGCAGAAGAAAAGAGGAGGGAGAAGGAAAAATTACAATCCAGAAAGCAAATATATAGGGATGCAATTCACAAACCTATCCTTTCCTTTCTCTTTCCTAACAAAAGCTCCTACAGGTCGGGGAAAAAAGATGAAAAATTGGCGACGTTCCCTTTTTCTCAACTACAACTCCCATCGCCCCCACCCTGACGGCAACGGAGGGGATATGCTGGGAGGTGGCCGTCTGGAAAGGAAATTTGGCCAAGTCAGTAGGAGACACGGTGGAGGAAGGCAATGGAAGGAAACGCACAGGGATAGGCATATACAGCCCTCGATGTAAAAGGCCTTACTTCTGAGTAAGTCTGCGGAGGCTTGAACTGCCTGCTGGCTTCGTTTCTCTATCCCAACACTGTAGATGGAGGACATGGACATATTTGCATGCTTAAAATAATAAAAGTGGGAGGACCTATGGGCTTCTAATTGGATGGAAGGAAGGAGTTAATGATGGATGGATGGATGGATGGATAG